GCATTGAATATTATCAAAAGCATTTTTAACCATATAATATGATTGTAGCATTCTTGCACGTAGTTAAGCTGAAATAAAAGAATGCAAATGAAACGATTGTTTCGCTAAGTGCATCAACATGTTGCAATGCGTAGAGCCACACACGTCTTCATACGTCGGTGTCTCATCGACGACTGATTCTTATTCTCATTGCGAGTTCGTGTTGGTTTGTTTATACTTTTTCGTTCGAGGCTGCCCATAGCTGATTTAGATAATCTAGTAGGGACTGGCCCCTTTTATTAATGTTAGTACTAGACCACGCAATGTGGTGAGAGTTAGCATCGCTACCTACTAGTACTTCGTTACCTGTTTGTTTTGTTTTGCTCACCAGCCACTGCAGTTCCGACGAAGGTGGTAATGTCGGCGCGTCGAACGGTAGGTATGCTGACGCTAGGTATATGTTTCCATTCCCCTGTCTCAGTACTGTTGCGTCCGATGTTGACAACCCTGAGGAGAAAAGAAAACATAATTTTGGTGACATATTATATAAGTTCTCGGCCGAGACCCTGTATTGGCATAGAATAGTTGGTATTTAATATGGTCCTGAATTAAACCAATGTGAATCTTACCTGAATTTATTAGTTCCACCCAGTTCGTGGGGTGGGGACGCGCCTGGTAGGTGAACTGACAAACACCCTCTGTCCCGGCCGAACTTAGCTTCTTCTTTTACTAATATTATATTTACAGAAACAAGTTTATATCGTTCGGTTTACAGATTTCCTGAAAATATTGGATATTTTGTTTTGTTATATTGTTGTCTTCTAGCAAATCATTCGCTTTCCGTCTAATTCCTTATGTTGTAGTTTTTACTGATTTCGAAGGCAAGAGGTGAGAGGATAAGATGATAGTTCTCCGATTGATACTAAAGTACTTCATAACGTTTGCTCTATGGAGTAGAATACATCATATATTCTCCATCCATATTTTTTATTATTTTGTTTGGTCTGTTAGAAGTCCATATTTACAAAACTCATCCTTCTTCTTATCGAACCTGTGGTTCCAAATTCCAAACCATAGCAAAGTTTAAGAGTATGTTCCATATATCGTATTTTTGCGTGTAGTGGCGGTAATCCAAATTCCTATGCATCAGTATTATCTAATACTTTTGTGATATCTCTTTTGAAATTGTGTTTTTATGGAAACTTATAACTTTAAAACGATCTCAAAACACTAATAAAATGGCTGTTTCAATAACAAATACACATTTAAAAGTCCTTTTTTACCTGTTTATTTAAAATTATTTGTAAATGTAGTGGTTTTTCAATTGACGAAGCTAATTATAATTTTAATAATTGTTAACAAAGTGTCGCGGCATAATTTGTTCTAGTCTAGTCTTTTCTTCAAACAATAATTATTCATTTGTGAAAACTAAACATTTCGCGTTATGAATGATAAATTGGAGCAATGAGAAAAAACAATACAAGATATTTTGTGCAAAAATGTTTTATTTAAAATGCACAGGAATTTATTTATAAACTTAACATGTTAATAAAATGCTCACATTGAACTGGTGTAAGACAAGGACTCCGAAGCATCTCTTAAATTCCTCAGACGTATTTTTTCAGTCTTGTATTTATTGCTTCCAATTACAATTAAGGAAACAGTCAAAACTCAACATGTTCTTGAAAATATATAATTTTTTTCTTGCTAAAAAAATTAAGATTGCTCCACTATGTGGTAGAGGCAATTTATTAGCGTAACTCCTCATTTTCGGTATTTTGTAGGTTTCGACCACAATTTTAAACCCAATCATGAGTTACATGTCATTTTGAATCCAGAGCTGACGGAATCTCTCACTGCCACATTTGGTGAAGATAGGCCTACTATTATGTTATGGACCGTATATAACGGCACTTTTAAGTTTTAGATATATTGAGAATCTCTCTCTGCAAAATTTTGTGAAGATAAGCCCACTTTTATTTATGGACCCTATATAACGGCGCTTCCTTATTTTAGGTATTTTCAAGGCTTTAGACAGAGTTTTTTTCAAACTTATTATTTGGTATTTTATTTCTCAGTTATTGTTTTGTTCTTCTCTGTGGATAAAAAAAAATTCAATATACGTAGGTCTCTACACAGATAAAAGCGGTAAGATCCCCAAAACAGAAATTAATTCAAATTAAAGTATTTCGTTGATTCCATTCATTTTTTTCAATGTTCATATCTTACTCATGACTACACCACTTATGTTTCAGACCTATTAATTTTTGTGTGGTTTAGATTTCTTACAAACAAAGTGTTTAAATACTATCGCCAAATTAGCAATATTACTGAAAATGTTCAGCCTTGCCTGCTAAAAATTCTTCAAAATATGTCGCCAATCAATGAGCTATGCCAACAGATAGCAACGTAAGAACAAAATTATAAGAAAAAAAATTGCAAAGGGAGCTATTGCTATTTGAAATCATCAGCCAACACAAAATAGCAGTGAGCGTCTCCAACAAAATTGAAATCAGCCCTAACAACAAAATAGCTTAGCACCAAAATAGCAGCTCGACAGCTATTGCTTAGCAAGTGCCAATTTTTGGAAGCAGCAGGCAATCCCTTGAAGGCCACTGGAAAAAGTAGAGATGGGGTCTCTACACACAAACAGCACTGTCAGCACAAACACAGACCCAACAACAACACCAACGTAATAAACTAATGTCCCAAACCAACCAACGTCAACACATGGAACATCAAACCATCATCATAAAAAATAATTTAAAAAAAATTTTGTATTTATACTTTTATTTCAATAAAAAATCTGTTAATTTTACAAATTTTACAATTTTTTTATCCATTGGCCCCAAATGTGGTTCTCAAAAATCTGCAGACATTCAGCAATGGTTCTGCTTACTGTAAACTTCACAAACATAGGAAAATACATATTTTCTTATTTCAAAAATGTAAAAATACAATCCTTCTTACTGGTTGTTAGCATCGAAGCATCTCTTAAATGCCTCCATAGTACATTTTGAACCTCCTCCACATCATCCATAAAGTAGAAATATTCATTTTTTATTTTTTTAAGAACACAAATGATTCGAACACAATTACTGGGAATATTATTTTGTTTGGCAGAGCCAGCTTACGTATGGTTGCATTTTTTATTGCTTTTTCGCGTTTAAATCAGTCATTCTGGCTCTTTTTTGCTTAATTTCGCGAATATTTTTTAAAAGGTCTATTTAGCAACACTGCGTCACGTAAGCCTTTGCGAAAGGAAGAACGAATGTTTGTGGAACGCATTCTGATACGAAAGTAAGTGACTAGCTTTCGTTCGCACAAATTTTCTTTCGATATCGTGGAACAGGCTGTTAGATTAGCTGACGAGCTCGAACGTATACACGAGTATGAACGTGTTTTATTCATTTGTACGTTGACAACAGACAATCATAAAAATATGTTTTGGCTGCCCATTCGCCTAAAACGAAAATGGCAGTAGCCGAAAACCGAGCTTATTTTGCGAGCTAAATTTTTAGCTTTATTGTTGGTTAGGGCTAAACAAAAATAGCTAGCTTATCAAAAACAAGCTAACAACAACATGTTATTTTCGCCGTGGCTGTCAATATTTAATAGCAGCTGTACTGATAGGTTAAGGCAAATTTCAGTAGGTGCTGGCTTTTAAACCCTGATAAAAACGCAAGAGAATCCTATTTAAAGGAACAACAAGAACAAACAAAACACAGAACTAGAACAATGTACTTTCAACGAAAAACAGTTGAGTAAAATTACGTAAATCCAAAAGAAGCTGAATTTTCAATCTCGCTTCCCTTATAACAAAAGACCATTCACCAACATTACTTTGATCATCATAGTTCTTAAATGACAATCCTAGCGGCGGAAGCAATAGACTTTAATCGATTATAAGCCCGTTGTTTTTTTTACGTCGACGAGATAATGTCTATTATGTGATTACATAAATCGAATTGTTGAACAAAATTTAACAGAACGGAACAAAACAATGCCATATTTTGACGTCTTAGCGCTTCATGTCTCTACAGAAACCATATACAGATATACTTATCAATGACGGAGTTATCGAATATACACATACGCTTATCAATGACGAAGTTAGCGATTAATGTATTGAATCAATTCTCAAAATTTCGAACGAGTATATTATTGTCAAGGAATCAGAATACGAACAATTTCAAAATGTTGACAACTATTACAAGATCTTCTTAACTTTAAAGAATGGACACAGTCTTCATTCATAGATACTCCAAGTGCTGTGAATCGCGCATTGAAATTCAAAAATCTCCATTCCACCATTGGCAAAAACCGCTAGAAACTTTGGAGACTCATTTGGATTATTACGTAAATGAAATGCTGTCCTACATTGGTAACAGGTCGATTCTTAATCTTAGTTGAAGAAACTAAAGCTGTTTTTTTGGCTGATCTTTTCGTACCTTATTTTCAATTAATCCTACGCAGAATTAACTAAGTGCCTTCTGCAATCTAATGGGATTTCCTCGGTTAATCCACATCGTAAAATTGAAACTATTGAAGCGGTTCAATTGTATTCCAGTTGTAGGATATAATAGTATGAAACAGAAACCAAAGTTAAGTTATGACAGTTCTGTTCTATTCTGTACTTCTACAAAATAAGAAGCAAACCGATTGCAAGCATTTCGTTTAGTTTATTTTCTTATCCCGGTTCAAATTCGTCAATACTGTTTATAATATTAACACAGGTCGATGTTGATGTAGCTGTCACTATTTGTTTCCAGCAAAAAATCTAATTAAAACTTTGTTGTAATGATGTTTAGAATTCTAATACATTTTATGATTTTGCAAGTATTAAATGCATTTATTAAATTGTTATTGTGTGCAATGTAATGCAGTGTTTTTATAATAATTGTCACTGCTAATATTGAATTGATAAAATACTGTGTATATTAAAAACTTTATTGAAATATCTTACGTTTATTCGTGTTATTGTCAATTTTTTAATTTTTTCAATCAATTTTTAATTTCAGGTCTTCTGTGGAACGCTTTTCTGAGAAAGAATTCGAAGCAAACTTTCTGCGAGCAATAATACCTCTTTTCAATAAATACATTAAGTAAAACTTTCAAATAACATCATGTTGTAATGCAGAGTTTTATTCAAAACATATGACTTTGAAATATATTTATATTAACGAGTTTAAAATATAAATCAAGTTTAAATGATAGTCATCTTCAGTTTTTCTATTATGTCTGCTAAGATTTGAATTTGCAGTCTTTACCTTGCTGAAAAGCGTACTGACGCTCTGGAAGAATGTTTGTCTCCACATATAGGTTGTCCTATGATTTCATAAGGAGGAACACTGTAGTAATTCGATTATAGACCAAGTGCTCGACAACATATCATTCTTTCCTGTCATATTTACCAAGAAATTTAGGGTTAGTGTTAATTAGAGAGAAATTTAGTGGGGAATTTTTATATAAAAATATCCATGGGCGAATCTTTTAGAAACATATTGATTTCACTGTTGTTTTTTAAAATCAAGTACACATTTTGTCTGTTTTTAAGATACTCGTCACTTCTGGTTTTTTCGTGAAATTTTGGGGACAGATTCTACAATTAGATATTGAGATTCTCGATCGTCGAAATCATCAAACTTGGGATGACAGCATACGATATCGAGAACATGCTTTCGGAATTTCCGATGCAACTACTTTTAAACATAATTTTAATAAATATTAGAAGTATATATTCTTTATTAAATTCAATAAATCAAGTGTTCATTGCTCTAGTGCTGAAGTATATGGCGGTGTATTTGTATATATTCATGTAAAAGTGTTAACTACGTCGAATTAATATCTTGTCCATTTTATATACGAAATAAACAGCTAAGTACGGCCGGGCCGAACTTTTAATTCCCTCCACCGTTTGGTATGAGCTTGAAAATTTTAAAAAAAAAATTCCGAAAAATACCGTTTAAATGAAAACCGTTATATAGGGGGTATACGAAGGCGTAATCCGACATAAGTAAGTCATAGGCTGTAACACCCATGGTACAATACAAAGGTAAGATAGAGCTACCAGCTGATTACAATTTCTTTCTAAGTGTGCCCGATTTCTGCCAATTTTGTGTATGTATTTATTGTTTTGAAAAGTGAAAGCAAAATATTTTAAAAACTAATAATTGGAAGACACGTAGATTTCGGTTCGCGCATTAAATCTATTAACCAGTTTAGCAATGAAATTAGAAGATTGAAGAGTTTGGATCATATTTTTGAGCAAAAATCCAGGCATTTCATAAAAATGAGGATAAGTATGTAAGTATAATATTGAAACAACTTGTTGCATATAAATTTTAATGGGCTTTTAAATCTCTCTCTCTCTCTCTCTATATATATATATATATATATATATATATATATATATATATATATATATATATATATATATATATATATATATATATATATATATATATATATATATATATATATATATATATATATGTTATATATAAGCTTTTTTCTTTGAAGAAGACATAAACTTTGATATAAACGTTGGCTTACATTTTAAAGTTTGTTTTTATCAAAAATAAGTAGATTTGTATATATATTCTTGATCAGCATACAATTTTAACTCGATTTAGAAGTATCAGCCCGTCTCTGGAAATCACTCTAGCTTCCGAACGAAATGAAGTAGGCTAATACAATTTTGCTCAAATCAATATTATGTCTGCAGGACTTTTGGTATCGAAAATGTGCCATGTACGTCCACGTTTTAGTATAGCCCACATATAATGGAACCTCTCAATATTCGGCATTTTGGTGATTTAAGCGACATTATTCACTGGAATTGTTTCAAATTTAGTATTTGAAGTTCGTAATTGATACTACAGTCAATGACAGAAAATTATCTGTGCAGGTTCACGTCTTCGAATGACTCCCACATAACGGCACCTCCCGATATTCGGTATTTTGATGATTTTAGCTACATTATTCACTGAAATTGTTTCAAAATTGGTATTAGAATTTATACTAAAGCCTATGACGGAAAATTGTCTGTTTGTACAAACGTTCGACGTACCACGAGTTAGGTTTTTAAAGAAAAAATATTGACCAAGCCTACTTTTACGCCCACTATTTCGATTTATCTTAAATCCTTATATTTGTCAAATAATGCAGATACCGGTTTGAAAATTATTACACGACATACGGTTGATTTTCCCTCCAATCCTAAGTATTTATTTGGGGACTGAGGAACTGACCACGCCTGCTTTTTAATTTATATATAAACCAATTGTTGTTCGTTGGTAATTGAATCACTTGAGACCGTCTAGAACTATTTGTATATTTTTTAAAATGTTCGTCCTACCCCGATTTAGGTTTTTATGCAAAGGAAAAGGGACCACGCCCAATTTTGCGCTCATTTATTAAAAATCCTAATATTTACCAAAATCATGAAGATATCTGTTTCACAGTTAGTATACGATGTAATCTTGACTCTATCCCTCCAACCCTCGGTATCTGTTTGGGGTTAGAGGAACTGTCAACACCTACTTCGTTAAATTTATATGTAAAACATTTGAAAAAGTATAGTAACACATCAGTTGAGAACGGCTGGGCCGATTTGACTCAATTTTTTTTTTGGTTATTTGTAATTACAGTGGAAACGTTGCCATGAAAAAAAAAATTGAGAAAAATCGCGGAACTGAACTATTATGATATGGAGTTTTGTGTAGAATTGTTTCAGAAGGCCTTTTGGAATTGGAAATTCTTATTTTTTATACATGCTGTTATATGGTTGCCATACCCAAATTTTGAATTTTATTAGATATGGAAATAATCCATCGAATGAGAACTCAAAATGCAAAATTCATTGGGACTTCAATCAGTGAAATACCGATTATGAAGAGGCACTGTAATATGTGGACTATACAAAATAGTGGAGTGAATTGAAAATATAGTAAGAAAAGGATTCATATACTCCAAAATTCTTCCGAGCCCTTAATAGAAACCTTAAATCATAAGTGCCGTTATACGGGCACTATGCGCTATCATCAGTAATTACACTGCGCCGCAGACATTCTTGGGGTAAGAAAATTTTTCCATACACAAAGGTCCGCAAATATATTGCCCTATACTCCGCAAAAGTTACGATAAAGTTTTAAATTTGATACAGTCCTAGGAGTTACATGAGGAATCATTTGTACAAAATATGTATCAGGTTGGTCTACATTGTGATATAGCCCCCCTCAGATGATATAGCCTCTTTCAAATTCCTCAAATTTTGGTAATTTCAGATTTTAGAAAGAAGAACAAATTCTTTCAAATAGTTGTAAGTATAGGATCCTGCTTCATTATAACTCTTATGTAAAGGTATCCGGTGATTTTAGCATCTAGCTTCTGGTGGAAGACCTCTTCTCGGAAATTTTCAATATCAATATTATGGAGTAACGCGCATATAAAAGTACCTCCTGATTTTACCTATTTCGAGGGTTGTGATTATATTTTCGAATCGATTTGACTTTAAATGTGTGTTTAGGCACTTTAGTGGTAGGAAACCATTTTACATGGGCCTATTTTAAACAATTAATGTATATTTTTTAATATATATATGCTATATTATTTAGGTTTTTAACTCTCAAACTAAAAGCTCTTACTGAAAAATAGGATCAGGTTATGTGAGCGAGATTTGTGAATTATTATGCTTTAAAAACTATACATTAAAGACTAAAACTACGGACCGGCAACGCGGACTGGGCCAGCCAGTTAATTAAAAAAGTTATTGGTTTAACCCAAATATAATTTTTAATACTAAATGTAATGATAATTTAGAATCTTTTATTATAAAGATAGAGTAAATAAAGATGCTGATTATGATTAATTTTAACTTTTTATTTGTATCAACATAACTATGTAACAAAAAACAAAACATGAAAACAACAAACACCTACCAGCCAATTAAGCGTTTTAAGTTTTATTTTCCTTCAAACAACTTATTGTCTATACATATAGAAATAATTTATAATAATTATTAATTATTTTCTTAATTATTTCCATTGAAATTATTTCTATTTACTGAGTTTTACCATTTCTTAAAAACAAAAAGTAAAAAAACATTAACTTCGGCTGGGCCAAATTTTTAATACCCTCCACCTTAAGGTAAAGGAAACATTAGAGCCCATTATGGTCCACATATTCATGGAAAAATGTGCCAAAACCTTGGTATGGGGGCTATACCAAAGCGTGGACCTATAAATGCAATGTCTCGCTACACGTACTGGGACCGTTGTGACCTACAAATATCAATTTTCAGAGAAATCCGTGAAAAAATGTGGCATAAATCATCAAAATACCGAATATGGGGAGGTACCGTTATATGGGGACTATACCTAAAAGTGGACCGATATATCTCATTTTCAATACCAACCATCCTAGACACAATACAAATTGCTTTGCTAAATTTGGCGCTCTACGTCAAATAATGTTGGCTGTATCGTGATTTCAACAGACAGACAGACGGACGGACATCGTTAAATCGACTTAGAATTTTATGCTGATTATCAATATATGTACTTTATGGGGTCTACGACGAATATTTAAGGATGTTACAAACGGAATGACAAAGTTAATATACCCTCCTTTCCAAGGTGGAGGGTATAAAAATGAAAGTTATTTTCCTTGGAAAAAACACATAACAAGTGGAGAGAGACGAAAATGTTTATAAGTGCGGTTGTAAAATTTAGATGATTTTCCAAAAGAATTTTAGTTTAATTTAATTGTTTGGTTCCTCTCCTATTGAGCTTACAATCTCGTTACTTGGGTAAAAAGAGAAAAATAGATTGTCATAGAAGTTCTTTTTAAAATAATGTCTGGGGAGAATATCCTAGACAAAAAACAAGGGAACTGATGAAGATTGGTGGCTCTTTCCGAAACCTAGGTATTCTCTGCCTTACCCCCTGGTAAACATTATCATCGTTCGCCACTAATAAACCAATGTTGTTTTTATAAAAACAAATAATATAAATTTGTCTGCTCATTTTTTTAAGGAAACAAAGACAAACTTGTAATCGCTTGTCACCAGCTGGAGAAGAGATTCTACTTTACTTTGGTAAAAGAATATTTAAAAGCTTCGAGAACTTAGAAAAATAATATATTTTATCGCTCACGGTCCATCATGACAATTAGGACGTACAAATTTACAGCTGCTTTACTTGTATATACCTTG